CAGCTGAATGCCCCTCATCTCACATGTTCTGTTTCAAACATGAAACAGAACATGTGGTAAACTGCAGTTGTCATAGAAACTCAAATGGTGTTTAGTTTGTCCAGTTTGAAAAACATGGTGGCCTCCTTAGAGAGGACCCGCTGTAAATACAAAGTATTTAACTCTTACGAGCCCATTCTAAAGCAAGGAAACTCACAATTGGTACAATTTAAATGAAACACCCAAATCCCTTTCACCTACTCTCAAAAAAGAATTATGCTCAAAACAGCGACTTTATGTATAATAATTACATATAAAATTTCCATGTACTTTTTTTTTTACATAAATTCAATGTAACTTTTAATGAAGTGTTTTCTATCATGCTGAGTTAGTTAAATTAAATAAAAGTGAGAATGATTTGATTATGTAAGTTAAACTTATACATAAATAAATACATTAAAGTCCAGTGTGTAAGATTTTGGTGAAAGGGATCTATAAATAATCCTCATGATGTTTTCACGTGTTCGTTTCATCTAAATTGTATGAATTGTAATTTTCTTTAGCCCAGAAAAGGCCCTTTATATTTACCTACTTTATATTTACATCGAGGGGACCCTCTCTACGGAGGCTGCCATGTTTTTTACATAAGTCCAGACTGGACAAACTAAACACCTTTTGAGTTTTTATGCCAATTAAAGTCTACCACAGTTTATTTTTCATGTTTGGAAGGAGAGGGTGAGGTGAGGGGTGTTCCGCTGCAACATGCAACTTCAACACTAGATATCACAAAATTCTACACACTGCACCTTTAGACAAACAATTAATTCCATAAGTTATTTGATTTATTCACACTAGCTCGACATGATAGAAAACACTTCATTAATGTGACCCTTCACATTGAACTTCTGTAGTAAGTAATTAGTTGTCCTGGGTTTGTTCCCTCGTGGTTGATGCTCTTATTGTAAGTCACTTTGGACAAAAGCGTCAGCTAAATGTAATGTAATATTATGAAATACAATACACACACACACACACACACACACACACACACACACACAGTAGTTTATACAGGTAAACTGGGAGGGGATCTCTGCCACTGTCTCTTTCTATAAGATAAGAAACCACAACATCACAAAAAGTTATGGGAGTGTGGGGGGGGAGAGTGAGAGAGGAAAAAGTGAGGACATACATGAGGGGATGAAAGGAGAGAGAGAGCAGGATGGTGCCAACAGTAAAAAAGAGGAGAGAGGTGGAGAGAGAGAGGGGGTTGGGGGTGGAGAGAGAGAGGTGGAGGGTGAACGTAGCACCGCTCTGTTCTGCCGCAGCCTCCCGGGGGGAGGGGGGGGTGAGGTGTGGGGGTGGGCGGTGGAGCCCGAAGCCTGACGCGGGACGCTCCTGGTCTCGAGCACCGCGGATTTACTCCAGCTGGCACGCGCACCGTGGCAGAAATGGAAATCCTCCGGAATGATACGGACCGGCAGCGCGAGATGGGCAGCCGTTGAGTTCAGCTCCAGCGGCGGCGGCGGCTCGGCTTGGAAATGGTAGGACACAAATCCCGCTGCGGTAAAGCGGAGTGCCGCTTCCTCGGCGTGTTGCTTGCCTCGTGTTTTACTAAATATAAAAATAAAAAAAGACGCAATGCGAGGAGTTGAGTGAACGCCGCTAGCTACGCAGCTGAAAGTGGAGCAGAAAGCGGCGGAGGCTCCATCCCTCTAAATGCCAGCGAGTGTGTTTTCACCGTCTGTTAGTTTGTGGAAGCGGCCGAATTCAAATTATAGTCCCATACGCGACGTTTCCCTGTAGGGGAGAATCTGTCATTGAATTCCATTGAAAAACCTGCCAAGTTCCAATTCAACTTGCACATCCACAAATACACACGCCGGCCACAGCGCGACCAGGGAACAGCTCTGAGGTGTCGGGTCCATGTTTGAATTCGGCTCAGGCACCGACCCACCAAACAGCCCGTACTCACTGGAAATCCTAACTTTCTGAATCGGTCTGACCGATCTGCCCATCTGTGTGTCCGTCTCACACACACACACACACACACACACACACGCACACACACACACAGCACAGGGCGGAAGCCAGCAGCTGGAACCAGCACTAAACTTGATATTTTGTTGACATCACGGTCATTTTAGGAAATCACACATGCGCCGAATATTCCCCGAAGACCATCTAACGTGAGAGGGGTTCATGTCACAGAGCAGATGGAGTGTGAGTGTGAGTCGTGGAGCAAATGGACTCAGTGTGTTGTACAGTATGCTGGGGCTCGGAGCAGCGTTGTCTCCGGGACATATTAACGTTAAACAGCCTTTGTCCCACCGGTAAGTGTGGTGTCCGGCTCCTGGTGCTGCGTGAATCAGCGGGGAACGTGTATTGGCATGTGTGTGTTTATGTGATTGTGTGTGTGCGTGCGTGTTTGTGTGTGTGTGTGAAAGTTGTGGAGTTGAGGGATTTCGTGAAGGCGCGTGCAGCGGCGGGCCCAGCTGCCCCGCTCCCGTTCGTCACGCGGGACGGCGCGAGGCCAACTTGAAGTTCAGCCTCCTTCTCCCCGGTCTGTGTGTGTGTGTGTGTGTGTGTGCGTGTGTGTTTGTGTGCGCGCGTGTGTGTCTGTTAGTCAGCAGAAAATGGCCGCAGTTAAAGCCAGCGGGCCGAGTTAGGATGACAGGCCGACAGAGGGCCTCCTGTCCCGGCATGCAGCTGGGGCAGAGAGCCGCTACGGAGGCAGAAACCTCCCGTACCCGCAGCGGAACGTCTGAGCTCACGTTGGGAAGCGAGCCACTTGACAACAGCACATACACCACAATCGAGAAGAAAGCAGTCAGATATGAACCCTACCTGCATCTCCACCAGCTACAAGAGGTGACAAAGATTGAATGTGAGAGGAGACTTTATTTCCCCATACTTGCTCTGGACACAGATTACAGCACAAAGCTAAATAGAATCGCATTGCTCCACGTTAGATGGTGTGACGGTATTTATTTACTTATGCTGCTTCAGCTCAAGGATCATATTAGTCTTCCCTGATAATAATAAAGTATTTCTGATTCTGTTGAAAGTAGGGAGATAAAAGATATGCGTGTATGGCCCTAACTCTCCTCTCATTTTTAAGATAACACAATCTTCTATTGGATCAGATTGTAAAACTTCATAGGCCAACATGTGATATGTAAATAAAAAGTAAATTGATTACTAGGTGCCAGTATTTAAACATCCTTCCATGAGAAGCCAGTGGTGCAGTTATATCTAATGATCAGTTAATAAACTCTGCATTCATCAACACGGTCTAAAAACAGGGTTGCCAAATCAATTTAACCATCCACCGGTGTCTAAAGCAGATACAATCTCACTTCAGTTCATGCTACAGAAAGAGCATGTCAATTATTGACCACAGAGCTTCTGTTAATGGTTCTGTCCCAATTTAACATTGTTACATTAGTGACATATTAGTTTTATATTACAAAACATAATGTGGGCTACTTTATCTTGTAAAATGCACTATAAATTTGAACTCATATAA